CGAGTAAGAGGGACTGAGGGGGGGAGGGAGGGAGGCAGGCAGGGAGGAGGGGGGAGGGAGGGAGGGAGGGAAGACGAGGCGGAGGAGGAGGAGGAGGATGCACAGGATGAAGAGGAGGAGGAAGAGGAGGGAGAGGAGGATGAGGAGGAGGAGGCGGCGGCGTCGGAGGAAGAGGAGGAGGGGGGGGAGGAATATCAGGAGGCGGAGTAGGAGGAAGGATAGAGAGAGAGAGAGAGAGAGAGAGAGCGAGAGAGAGAGAAGGATGGAGAAGAGGAGGAAGGATGAGAAAGGGGCGGGAGAAGGAGACGAGGGGTCTCCGAAGGTACCCCGAGGCCCCTGGAGGCCCCTGGATGCCTCCAGAAGCTCTCAGGGGCTCGGAAAGGGCTCCAAACCCAGCGAGAACGTCCCACCTCTACCTTCGAGGCTCGACAGCAAAACACATAATAAGGAGGATGATAATGAGGAGGAGGAGGAGGAGGAGGAGGAGGAGGAGGAGGAAGTTTGGCAGAGTAACAGACCTGCCCGCAGGTATCAGACTATCGGGGAGGACCGAGGCCATGATGGGGCCAGGCTGGGGCCTTCTGAGCGATCTGGAGGTCCTTTTTTCGAGAATCTTGGGCGATCTTGTGGGCATCTCGAAGCAATCCTGGACAAACACACCGTACCCCTTTTACGCTTTTCAAGATTTTGGGCCCCCTCGGGGCCTTCAGGGAATCCTTTAAGGAGTTTGTTGGGGCCCTGATGGGGCCTGGACTGGCCTTCGGGCCCTCTTGGGGCTCTCTTGGGGCTCTCTTGGGACATCTTGGAGCCGTATGGAGCCCTAGAAAACCAATCGGAAGCGAAAGGGCGAGAATGCACAGCTAAGAGAGTTTAGTATTTGTGCTGGAAGGATGTTTGCCTCTCGGGGGCGCCCTTGGGAGGCTCCGTGGCGACTTGGAGCAGTCTTGGGGCATCTTGGGGGCATGGTGGGAGAAGGGTTAAAAACAGTTTTGCTTTCGGGGCCATTTCCAAATTCTTCACGCTTCGCGTATCCCCACCAGCCCATCTCAAAACAGCAACTCTAGTGAAGCATGCCGACAGTCGTGTTTTTCAGGCGTGTTTCCGCCTGCCCCCGCATATCTCCCCTGTTCCTCCTTCCTCCCGCCTCCTTGTACATCCTCCTTGTGGTGGGAGCGGGAGAAGGACGAGGCGGAGGAGGAGGGAGAGAAAGCGCTCCTCGTGGTTTGAGTCGTTCGGGCTTCTCGTCCTGGTGTGAGTCGTTCGGGCCCTTCTTCCTGGTGTGAGTCGTTCGGGCTCTTCGTGGTGTGAGTCGTTCGGGCTCTTCGTCCTGGTGTGAGTCGTTCGGGCTTCTCGTGGTGTGAGTTGTTCGGGCCCCTCGTCCTGGTGTGAGTCGTTCGGGCCCCTCCTCCTGCCCGTCCAGAAACGACGCCCAGGCGAGTAGAGGGTCGTCCTGATGGGCTTTTCGGCGTCTTGGGTGCCTCGGGGGGGCCTCTTTGGGCCGTTTGGGATCCTCTTGGGGGCCTCCTGGGGGCCTCTTGGGGCCATCTTGGGGCCTCTTGGTGCCTCCTGGGCGCTTCTTGGGGCCATCTTGGAGGAAATCGATCAAAGAAGAGGGGAGCTTTAATTAGCGCTGCCCCCTCAGAAGGCCAAAATGGGGCCAAAACCTTAGTAAAATCAATGATTTTGGCTTGAAAGAAGAGGGGAGCTTTAATTAGCGCTGCCCCCTCAGAAGGCCAAAATGGGGCCAACACCGTAGTAACATCAATGATTTCGGCTTCAAAGAAGAGGGGAGCATTTTTCTGCCTCCCCCCGTCGGGGCCAGAATCCTCGTGAGGGGTGTCGTTTTTTAGCCCTCCCAGGAGTCGAAACAGACCCCTCCAACGACCCGCGAAACCCCCTCTCCAGGCCCAGGGGGAGGGGGTAGGGGGAGGGGTAAACCCCTCCCCGAAGGGGAAGAAGGGGGGTTGAGAACAGAGAGAGCTCCCTAAACCACTCACGCCCAAAGGGCTGGTGGGATTTCAGGGTCAACGAAAATCACAGCCTGTGGTGTTGGGTCTTTGTTTTGAGGAGACAGTCCCCGCGTCTCCTCCTTCTCCTCCTTCCTCCTATCGCCATCGCCATCATCATCATCATCATCATCATCATCATCATCATCATCATCATCATCATCATCATCATCATCATCATCATCATCATCATCATCATCATCATCATCATCATCATCATCATCAGTTTCATCATCATCATCATCATCATGATCATCATCATCATCATCGTCATCACCACCATCATCACCATGATCATCATCATCACCATCACCATCATCATCATGACCACCAACATCATCATCATTATCATCATCATCACCGTCATCGTCGCCATAATCATCATCACCATCATAATCATCACCATCATCATCATGATCACCACTATCATCATCATTATCATCATCACCGTCATCGTGGCCATACTCATCATCATAATCATCACCATCATCATCATCATCGTCATCATTATCATGATGATGATGATGATGATCATCATCATCATCATCATCATCATCTTCATCTTCATCTTCATCTTCATCGTATCATCATCACTATCATCACCATCATCACCATCATTATCACCACCTCCATCATCATCGTATCATCATCATCAACCATCATCATCGTCGTCGTCGTCGTCCTCGTCGTCGTCGTCGTCGTCTTCATCATCATCATCATCATCACCGCCATCATCGCCATCATTATCATCGTCATCATCATTATCATCATCATTATCATCATCATCATCATCATCATCATCATCATCATCATCATCATCATAGCCACCATTATCATCATCATCATCACCATCATCATAGCCATTTTGGCTCACGCATTGGCTGAGTCACATGCCCTTGGGCGCACTTGTGCCCCCACGCTGCTTGTTGCCGCCACTTCGCGGTGGCGCTGCGATGGTGTGCTCGGCCAGGCTTGCATTGATCTTGGCCCAACTTCTGCTTGCACGACAGTGCCGCTGCAGGCTCAACACGTACCCTGGACGGTTCGTGGTGCACTTCGTCCTTCTGCCTGTCTGCGCCCAGTTCAATTGTTGCTGATGGCGGTGCCCGAGGCGGTGGCTGTGGATCATGTTCATATTTCTTTGTCTGGAGAATCACGTGTCTCGGTCACGTTCAAGACGGTTCCTCATGCGTGCAGTGTTGGGGCCGATTTTCCTGGAGGTGTCGATTTTCATGATGACGCTGGAGCCGCTCAACATGGAGGTGCTGGCAATGCTGTCCCGGTGCTCGCTGCTCTCGCAGATCCTGGTCGTCAACCGCCGGGTGCTAAAAGCGTCTATGAAGATGCTGTTCATCGTGGAGGCGGTGGAGTGGATCATCCTGGTGCTGCAGATGCTCTTGGGGCTCCTGTGGATCTCGATTGCCGGCCTGCTATTGGCGGGCCTGGCCGCGCTAGTGGAGTGCCTCCTGGTGATGCGGTCGCTCATGGTTTTCTTGGCTCTCCCGATCGTCGGCCTGCCGATGGCGCTAAAGATCGCGTCGCCCGCGGGGTTCCCTGTGGTGCAAGTACTCACGATGTTCACGGTTCTATCGGTCGTCGGCCTGATAGTCGCGTTTTTGGCCAGGTTCACGGTGGTCCTTGCGATGGGCATGCTCAGAGTTTTCTTGGTGCTTCTCATCGTTAGCCCGCAGATGGCATTCCTGGATATTCCCATGGTATTCATGGTCGTGCGGACGCTCACGTAGTTTCTGATGTTCTTGATCGTCGGACTGCTGATGGCGTTCGTAGTGGTGCTGGTACTCGTGATGTTCCTGGTCCCATCGATCGTCGGCCTGCCGATGGCGCGAAAGATCGCTCCGCCCCTGGGTCTCCTGGTGGTGCCAGTGCTCATGATGTTCACGGCTCCTTGGATCGTCGGTTTGGTGATCGCAGTCTTGGCCAGGCTCGTTGTGGTCCTTGCGATGGGGATGTTCAGATGGGGATGTTCAGAGTCGTCGTGGTGCTTCTGATCGTTGGCCTGCTGATGACATTTCTGGAATGTCTCGGCGTGCGGACGCTCGCGGGGTTGCTGATGTTCCTGATCGTCGACCTGCTGATGGCGTTCGTGGTGATTATGGTAACTAGGGTGCTCCGATGCCCTCGCTGTGGCGGGGCTACCCTGGAGGGGTGGGGGCACGAAACCTGATAAATCATGTGGTACTCCGATATCCTCCTCGCTCTGGCGGGGCCTCCCTGGAGCGGATTCCATTATTCGTCACGTGGCAGCGTTTCGGGAGCCGGCAACGAACACTGTGCCACTCCACTCGCCACGTGGCAACGCTTGGAGACGCAACGAACACGTGTTCCGTTCTAGTCGTCGCGTGGCAGCGGCGCGGGGGCCGAGCAGAAACATTACGCCACGACGACGGCGAGGACGACGACGAGAACGACGACTGCGACGATGACGACGACGACGATGGCGAGGGCCAGGGAGGTGAACCAAGCTTCTATCCTATCCTCCTCGTCCTTCTCCCCGCCCCCCTGCCCTCTCCCTCCTCCATCCTCCCTCTTCCTTTCTTCCTCCCTCTTCCTTCCTCCTCCCCCTTTCCTCTCCCCTCCTCCCTCCTCACTCCTCCTTCTTCCCCTCGACTCTATCTTCCTCCCTTCTCCTCCATCCTGTCATCCTTCCCCTCGCCCGCAGTTTACTGCAATGCAATTCAATATACTGCAACTGCAATGCACATGCAAAGCAGTGCAATGCAATGCAACAAAAGAGGATGCAACACAATGCAATGCAATGCAACGCAACGCAACGCAGTGTAGTGCAATGCAAGGCGTCATTTGGCAGCGCCGTGGGGGCCGAACAACCGATTGCCACGACGACGATGACAAGGGCCAGGGAGGCGAGCAAACATACTATCCTATCCTTCTCTTCGTCCTTCTCCCTTCCTCCTCCCTTCTCCCTTCTCCCCATTTCTCCCTCCTCCCCCTACCCTCCTCCCCCCTCTTCTCTCCCCTCACTGCAATACAATGTACTACTACTCCTCCCTCTTCCCCCTCCCCTCCTCCCCCTCCTCCCCTCTCCCTCCTTCCTCCTCCCCATGTCTACCTCATCCCACTACCCTCCTCCCCCCTCTTCTCTCCCCTCGCTGCAATACAATGTACTACTACTCCTGGCTCTTCCCCCTCCCCTCCTCCCCCTCCGCTCTCCTTCCCCTCTCCCTCCCCTCCGCCGCCCTCCGCACATTACTGAAATGCAATGTCCTGCACATGCAATGCAGATGCAACGCTGTGCACTGCAATGCAACGAAGCATGATGCAATGCAACGCAATGGAATGCAATGCAATGCAACGAAACGCAATGAAGTTCAAGGCAACGCAACGCAACGCAACGCAACGCAACGCAATGCAATACAAAAGCACAACAGCAACTGCAACTGCAACTGCAACGCAACGCAATACAACTGCAACGCAACTTCAACGCAACGCAACGCAATGCAACGCAATGCAACGCAACGCAATGCAATGCAATGCAACGCAACTTCAACGCAACGCAATGCAACGCAATGCAACGCAACGCAATGCAATGCAATGCAATGCAACGCAATGCAATGCAATGCAAATGCAACGCAATGCAATGCAATGCAAATGCAATGCAATGCAATGCAACGCAACGCAATGCAATGCAATGCAATGCAATGCAATGCAATGCAATTCACCGCAACACAGTGCGCCGCCTGCATGTTTGCACGCCCGCCCGCTCGCCCGCTCGCCCGCCCGCTCGCCCCTCCGCGCGCGCCTCATTCCATTCCATTCCATTCCATTCCATTCCATTCCATTCCATTCCATTCCAGTCCAGTCCAGTCCAGTCCAGTCCAGTCCAGTCCAGTCCAGTCCAGTCCAGTCCAGTCCAGTCCATTCCATTCCATTCCATGGGTAGGGGCAGGGGTAAAATCCTCGCCGAAAGGGAAGAAGGTCAGGATCGTTGAGCCGATCCCTATCCCCTCCTCCTCCTCCTCCTCCTCCTCCTCCTTTTCCTCCTCCTCCTCCTCCTCCTCCTCCTCCTCCTCCCCCTCCTCCTCCTCCCCCTCCTCCTCATCCCCATATCTCCGTCCCGAGCCCCACCACCTCACCACCCCAGTTGGGGATAGATCCTCGAAGCCCGAAGGTAGCAGCCTACATTCCCACCTGGGGGGCAAGTCGGCCAGTGGGGCCCAGGCCACACCGGCGGGGATAGGGATCGGTTAGACGATGCTCAGAAGGGGGTTGGAAGAGGAACGGTGCTAGACCACCTCAGCCCTACAGGGCTGGCGGTATGAGCATGCTGAGTGGACGAAAGCGTGGCGTACCTTTGCAGCACAAGTGATTACTATCCCGCTTGGTGTTGCCGTAACATGTTTTTTTGTGGTTGGCGCGCTCGAGAAAACACGGCGTTGACTGAAGGGTAGCAGCACGGGCGTTGCGCCAGAGTTTGCTCCATGAGTTGGTAGAGCCGAGGCGACGGCATACCTGGTCGGGGCAGCACGCTCAGACGGTACCTGATATTGTCCTGCACGCCGCAATTTGGCTTGTCTATGAATGGTTAGCGTGTTACCTCTTGCCTGTGCCCAGTAAGCAATACCACCCTATCGCCCCAGCCCGTTGAATTTTCACTTATCCTCGCCATCCGATCGTCCCATCCTACGTCGGTGTGGCGCGCACCCGCTCGTGTCGCGTCCCCTCTCATCTTCTTTCCCCGCATCGCCACGACGGGAGGGGTCCCGTGGGCAACGGGTCCTGGACCGGTTCTTTGCCCCAGATCCTTTTCTCGGTCGCGGCCCCTTCTCCCTGCTGCTGGCCGGAGCCAGTGCTGGGCCACCTCAGCCCCCCAAGCGCTCTCCTGCTCCCTCACCTCTCGAGGCCTCCCAGATGGGGTCCATCTACTCGGACACCATCTGGGAGGCCTCCATTTCTCACCTCGTCCTCCTCGTCCTCCTCGCCTCTGGCCCTTGCCCCGCTCTGCCCCCCCCCCCCCGCGCGCGCGCAGCTTGCCCTCGACGCGCCCCAACTGGAAGTACGGCAGCTACGAGCCCGGCAACTTTCAAGCACGACCTTCCGCGTCACCTCCCGCGTCAGGCCAGGCCTGAGCTGAGTCCAGCAAGAAGGGCCTGTCGCGTCAGGCCTTCGCGGTGCGCGCGCGGAAGGGCCGCCGCCGCCGCCCAAACGGGTCCTGAGGGAAAGGGGCTTCCTGAGCTCTTCTGCCGTGGTCAGCCTCCTCGGGCCCCTCCCAGGCCCTGGGGCCGTCCGGCCGTCCCTGGGGCTCTGGGGGGAAGCCCCAGGGGCGCAGGACCCAGGGCGACTCGATGCAGCACAGTATCGGTTCCCATGGTGAGGTGAACGCAGCCGGCAAGACCTACCGTGCAGATCCTCAGAAACTCTTGGAATTAAGTTTGAAGCCTCGTTGTCGGCGCCACCGTCGCCGCCTGCCAACTCGAGCTGCTAGTGTTAAGTCGGGCCGGTCCCTCTACAGGAGGAATATTCAAAAATAGTCAAAAATAGTATGGGGATTATTTTGTGAATATTTTTTGACCATTTTGGAGTATTTTTGGGGTATTTCTATTTTCCGTCGAAAATCCCCCTGTAGGGGGACACGCCCGACTTAATGCTAGTGCGCAGTAGGAGGGCGCAGTGCACCGGCGCCGCACGCGCACGCGCGTGCGCGCGAGCACCGCCGCCCACAGCTGATTACTTTGACGAAGGAAGGCGGCGGCGGCGTAGGCGGTGGCGACGACGGCCACGACGACGACGGCGGCGGCGACGGCGGAGACGACGGCGGCGGCGGCGGCGGGGGCGGCGGCGGCGACGACGAGTACGACGACGGCGGCGGCGGTGGCGGCGGTTGCGGCGGCGGCGGCGGTTGGGGGCGGCTGCGGCCGCGACGACGATGGTGACGACGACGGCGGCAATGACGACGGCGGCGGCGGCTGCTGCGGCGGCGGCTGAAGGGGGGACGCCAGCGGCGACGACGACGACGACGACGACCACGCGACGACGACGACGACGGCGGCGGCGGCGGCGACGTCGATGGTGACGGCGACGGCGGCAACGACGACGGCTGCGGCGGCGGCGGCGAGACGCGGCGACGCCAGCGGCGACGACGACGACGACGACGACTACGACGACGACGACGACGACGAGGACGACGACGACGACGACGGCGACGACGACGACGACGACGGCGGCGGCGGCGACGACGACGACGACGACGACGACTACGACGACGACGGCGGCGGCGGCGGCGACGACGAGTACGACGACGACGGCGGCGGTGGCGGCGGGTGCGGCGGCGGCGGCGGTTGGGGGCGGCGGCGGCGGCGGCGACGACGATGGTGACGACGACGGCAGCAATGACGACGGCTGCGGCGGCGGTTGCGGCGGCGGCGGCTGACTCGGCGACGCCAGCGGCGACGACGACGACGACGACGACGGCGGCGGCGGCGGCGGCGGCAAACGGCGACGACGACGACGACGACGACGACGACTGCGCGAAGGCGGCGACGACGGCGACGACGACGACGACGACGACGGCGACGACGACGACGACGACGACGACGACGGCGACGTTGACGACGACGACGACGACGACGACGACGACGACGACGACGACGACGACGACGACACGACGACGACGACGACCACGACGACGACGAAGACGACGACGACGACGACGACGACGACGGACGACGACGACGACGACGACGACGACGACGACGACGACGACGACGACGACGACGACGACGACCGACGACGACGGCGACGACGACGACGACGACGGCGACGGCGACGACGACGACGACGACGACGAGTACGACGACGGCGGCGGCGGCTGCGGGGGCGGCGCTGGCGAAGACGAATACGACGACGGCGGCGATGGCGGCGGGTGCGGCGGCGGCGGCGGCGGCAACGTCGACGGTGACGGCGACGGCGGAGACGCGGCGACGCCAGCGGCGACGACGACGACGACGACTACGACGACGACGGCGACGAGGAAGACGACGACGACGACGGCGGCGACGACGACGACGACGACGACGACGGCGGCGGCGGCGACGACGACGACGAGGACGACTGCGACGACGACGGCTGCGGCGGCGGCTGCGGCGGCGGCGGCGACGACGATGGTGACGACGACGGCGGCAACGACGACGGCTGCGGCGGCGGCTGCTGCAGCGGCCGCTGACGCGGCGACGCCAGCGGCGATGACGACGACGACTACGATGACGACGACGACAACGACGACACCGACGACGACGACGCCGACGACGACGACGAGAAATGCGCGACGACGACGACGACGAAGACAAAGACGACGATGACGACGACGACCACGACCGCGATGACGTCGAGGACGACCACGAGCGCGACGACGACGACGACGGCGGGGGTGGCGGTTTTTGCGGCGGCGGCAGCGACGACGATAACGACGACGACGACGACGGCGGTGGCGGCGACCACGAGGACGACGACGGCGGCGGCGGTGGGGCGACGGCGGCGGCGACGACGGCGGCGGCGGCGGCTGCGGCGGTGGCGTCGATGGCGACGACGACGACGATGGCGGCGGCGGCTGGACGACGACGACGACGACGACGACGACGAAGACGGCGACGGCGGCGGCGGCGGCGGAGACGACGACGACGATGACGACGACGACGACGACGGCGGCGTCGACGACGGCGACGACGACGACCACGACCACGACCACCACCACGACACGACCACGACGACGACGACGACGACGACGACGACGACGACGACGGTGGCGGCGGCGGCGGCGGTGGCGACGACGGCGACGACGACGACGATGACGACGGCGACGACGGCGGCGGCTTCCGCGGCGGCTTCTGCGGCGGTTTTTGCGGCGGCGGCTGCGGCCACGACGGCGACTACGACGACGACGACGACGACGGCGGCGGCGACGAGGACGGCTACGACGGCGGCGGCGGCGGCGACGACGACGGCGGCGATGACGACGGCTGCGGCGGCGTCTGCGACGACGACGACGACGACGACGCCATCGGTGGCGACGACGACGGCGGCGCGGCGGCGGCAGGTGACGACGACGTTCGGCGCAGCGGCGACGACGACGACGCGGCGGCTGCGGCGGTGGCTGCGGCGGTGGCGGCATCTGCGACGACGCCGGGCAGCGACGAAGACCACATCGACGACGACGACGACGACGACGGCGGCGGCGGCGGCTGCGGCGACTGCGGTGGCGGCTGCGACGGCGGCTGTGGTGGCGGCGGCTGCGACGCTGGCGGCGGCGACGACGACGACGACGTCGGCGGCGGCGGCGGCGACGACGGCGACGATTACGACGACGACGACGACGACGGCGACGAGGACGACTGCAATGATGACTGCGGCGGCGGCTGCGGCGATGATGGCGGCTGCGATGATGGCGGCGGTAGAGGAGACGGCGTTGACGGTGGCAGCGGCGGCGGCTCCGGCGACGACGACCACGACGTCGACGGCGACGACCACTGCAACGATGACGCGTGCGGTGGCGACGGCGGCGGCGACGGCGGATGCGGCGGCGGTTGAGTCGGTTTCGGCAGCGGCGGCGAGGACGACGACCAGAACGGCGGCGGTGGCGGTGGCGACGACGACGACGACAGCGGCAGCGGCAGCGGCGGCGGCGACGAAGACGACGGCGACGGCGACGGCGACAGCGACGGCTACGGTGACGGCTACGGCGAATGCGAACACGGCGACGACGACGGCGGCGACATCGACGACGACGAGGAGGACGACGACGACGACGTCGACGACGACGACGACGAAGACCGCGGCGACGACGACGACGACGACGGCGGCGACGACGACGTCGACGAGGGCTGCTGCGTCGGCTGCGGCGGCTGCGGCGGCGGCGGTGACGACGACGGCGACGGCTACGGCCACGGCTACGGCGACGTCGACGGCGACGTCGACGCTGACGGCGACGACGGCGACGACGTCGACGGCGACGACGTCGATGACTACGACGATGACGAAATCGACGACGACAACGACGACTGCGGCGTCGGCTGCGGTGGCTGCGGCGGCGGCGGTGACGACGATGTCGACGGCACCGGCGGCGGCTGTTACGGCGTATGCGGCGGCGACGGCGGTTGCAACGACGACGGCGTCGGCGTGGGTGATGACGACGACGACGACGTCGACAACGATTGCGACGATGGCGGTGTCGGTGACGACGACGACGGCGGCGGCGGCGCCCGTGGCGACGACGACGATGACGCCGACGACGGCGGCTGCAGCGACGCCGACGCCGAGGCCGACGACGACGATGACGACGAAGGGGACGACGACGACGACGACTGCAGCGGCGGCTGCGGTGGCGGCTACGGCGGCGACGACGGACGACCACGACAACGACAGCGGCGGCGGCCGCGGCGAGGACGACGAAGACGACGACGTACGATGACAACGGCGCCGAGGACGACGACGGCGGCGGCGGCGGGGGCGGCTGCGACGACGGCGGCGGCGGCAGCGGCTGCGGCGGCGGGCGGTGGCGGCGGCGGCGGCGGCGACGACGACGACGACGACGACGACGATCACGACGACGACGGCGACGGCGGCGGCGGCGCCGACGACGGCGACGACGACGACGACGACCACGACGGCGGCTACAACGACGGCGGCTACAATGACGACGGCGACGACGAAAACGATGACTTTGACGACGGCGGCGGCGTCGGCGGCTGCGGCGACGTCTACGGTGACGACGACGGCGGCGGCGGCGGCTGCGGAGTCGCCTTCTGCGGGTGTGGCGGCGGCGACGACGACGACGACGACGACGACGACGGCAGCGGCGGCGGTGGCTGCTGTGGCTGCGAGTGCGGCGGCGCCGCCGGCGCCGACGACGATGACAACGACGTCGACGACGACGGCGGCCACGACGGTGGCGGTGGCAACGACGACGGCGACGAACACGGCGACGACGGTGGCGGCGGCGGCGGCGGCGGCGGCGGCAGCTTCGACCTTTTTTGCGACGACGACGACGGCGGCGGCGGCTGCGGCAGCGGCGGTTGCGACGACCACGACAGTGACGGCAGCGACGGCGATGGCTGCGGCTGCGGCGGTGGCGGCGTCGGCGACGACGACCACGACAACGACGACGACGACGACCACGACGACGATAGCGACGACGGCCACGGCGACGACGACCACGACGACGGCGGCGGGCGCGGCGGCTGCTGCGGTGGCGACGACGACGACGGCGACGACGACGACCACGACCACGACGACGACGACGACGAAAATGATTATGATGATGATGCTGCTGATGATGATGCTGCTGCTGATGATGATGACGATGATGATGATGATGCTGATGATGATGATGATGCTGATGATGATGCTGATTATGATGATGCTGATGATGATGATGCTGCTGCTGATGATGATGATGATGATGACGATGATGATGATGATGCTGATGATGATGATGATGATGATGCTGATGATGATGATGATGAT